CCCCCTCCCCCCGCCCCACCTCCTCCTCCTCTAAACTACATTGATAACCAGGAAGCGGAAGCTTCTGGGGGGAGCAACAGAGGGTATCGAAGAGACTTTTCTATAGTAAAACAACTGCTACCTGAGCCCTTGGAGGTAGAAGGGGTGGGGGAGAAGAGCGAAAGGCCCCTCACCCCTTCCCCCTTGGATTCGCCACTGGTAATGAAGCACAACAGGAGGCTAAACGCGCCATTAGTCTGCTTTTAAGTAGTCATCGAAAGAGGAAGCCATCGACAGCCTTGCCAGCGGATCACTGCCGCTGATACGTGTTTCACCAGTACTTCTGAATGCCTCCACTTTCCAAAAAAAGCTAAAACAGGGGAATTTTGCTTTTTGGCATACCGCAAGAAGGTTAAGGCGTTTTTCCAGTCGTTCCTTTTCTTCTTTCAGTTGCTCGATTGCATCATTTTTTTCCTTGATCGTACAACTGCTTTTTCGAATCTGTGCCCTCATGTCAGTTCTCTGGCGTTCCAGATCACGTACAACTCCACGAAGATCGGCAACCTAAAAAATTGTTGTATTTTCCGAGGAACTGATTCTTTTAATTCAATAATTATAAGACTGTTTCATGCGATCCTAAAGTTTTTGTAATCCTATAATTGCACCTATTTCCCTCCTCTCACTAATTCTTAACACTTCGACTTACTTCCCTCCACTCACTAATTTCTAACAATTCCACCAAATTCTAAATAATTCCATATTACCTACCCTTTCACTCACTAACTAACTTGCCTTCCTTTTGCCCCCATTAATTTTCCCTATATAAACCCCATCCTAAAACGCAGGTCCTGAGTTTTTGGAAATCAACACGATCAACAACGCCATTCGCCTGCTACGTCCTTCTTCAAAACCGCCAGTGTTCCGCTGCTGAACAACTTGTGCGGCGCCCTGCCTCGCCGTTTTACGCGTCGTTCCACTTGTCATCCTATTTGAAGCGAAGTTTTTGTTGGAAAAAAAATGCTAGGTATTCTTCCCTGTCTTCCGCTGCGGCAGTCAAGGATCACGTGAGGGCCTAACATTTCAAGTAACTCAAAAAAAAAAAATATCACATACATCAATTGCGTGATCTTTTAAATTCACAGAATAGCGATCCCTTCGTGCTAATCCGCCACAGCTATCATCCTTACAAGATAAGGTACAGAAATTTCCGAAATTTCGGAAAATTAGTACAAAAATTAAAAAAGTACAGAGATTTCGTATTAAAAATACAGAAATTTCGGAAAATTATGGCTGTGGAAAGAATCCTATCCTCAATAGTATGCGAAAAATTCGCTGTCCTCGATTTCAAGAAGCCCGAAAAAACGACAAAAAATTGGGACCTGTTCTTTTAGAAGTCTTACAACATCACTTTCACTGTCATCTTTTTTCTTCTGTCTTAGATTGAGGAGGGCATTTTGCGTTTTCAGTCGTTCATAATCGGCATTTCGCTGCTTTTCCAGCTGTTGATTTTGGAAATGATTCTCTTTCTGGGCCTGTTCCTCACGCTCCAGCTGCTCCACT